ATTCATATAAGCGAGGATTTTGCTTTGTACAACTGCTCCCCATGTTCTTCCTATACTGCTCTCCAAGAGTGCCGGGAAAACATCTTTTAACTGCAAATTCGCAAAAAAATGATGCTACTCTTAGGGATACAAAAATTAGTGGCTCCATGAAACCTGTCTGTACTGCATATTCGAATAAAAAAAAAGCGTACTTTTTCAATGCTGGCCGAATTTGCTCGCCTTGCAAGCGCGAATAATATTTCATACGCTGGCATCGCATACTCTTCTGGCAGATCGCTACCACTTGAAATTCCATTCAAAATCTGGAAAACTTATACAAGAAAGCTAGCACTTCGCATAAGGTGCTAATGAGCTATAGACTTACAAAAATAAAAAAAAATTTTTTCTAAATTACAAAATTACAAATTTGAATTATGAAAAATTTTGGATAACAAACATGTGCATTTGTTTCGAACGAACATTCACGTCCCAAGACAAATTCAAACACCCAAAATACACCAGAAATCCGAGTAATTCGCTAACCTCAAACACATCGCCGTCATCGTTGCAACGTTCTACTTTCGCCAGCACGTAAGCGATCCTTAAAGTGTTTGCCAACAAAACATTGTCTGCTGCACTCTAAAATTTATAGTAACTTGCAAAGACGACATTTTCATCTATAATGTACGAGTGCAAGCTACAAGAGAAAGCCTAAAAATAAGGTGCTAATGAATTATAGACTTACAAAATTTACAAAAAATACAAAAATTTTTAAAATCACAAAAAATTCGAACTACAAAATTACAAATTTGAATTGTGAAAAATTTTGTATAGGCAAAATTTGAATCAAAAATTAGAAAAAATTTTCAAAATATCTCGTACAAGCGTCTCTGAAAAAAGGGGAAATCGTACAAACAGCAACAATAGCAGCAGCAGTACTGCTTTTTTTTTTTAAAGAGATTAATCCCACAAACATTTTGATCCAAATTTTTCACAAAACGTACTTCAATCACTGATCGAGCTTTTTCATACTGGCCTGCGCTTGCCAAAGCGTAAACCATTGACTGAAGAATTTGATCAGATACCTTCAAGCCCATGTTTTTGACGTGACTGATAATCTCACTGAAATCGAAAAACGATATATCAAGAAACGCAAACGGTACATACTGAGCAGAGCACAGTGAGCGCAACCAGAGAGGCTGTCCATGCCAGGTTAGCCCACCAACAAGGGACTTAAATTCTCCAAATGAATACCATCTAGCGCGACTCGTTTAAAACGCCTTCTGTAATTCCGTTTCCCACTATTACCGAAGAACAAGCCGGTGCTCCTAGCGGGGAGGAGGG